ATCTGCTTCATTATCTATAAGTTATTAAATACATTAGTCTATTATTTTGCTGCCATTTTCTTTGCTAATGATTTTTAATGCCATAAGGGCAAACTTCATAAAAATAGGTCGGCAATAATCATCTTCTATGATACATTTTAGGTTTTCTGGTGTTATCGATATTCCCATGCTGCACTCGGTTTCGAATCTTCCTTTCCCAAAACGTGGGCAGTCTATTACAACGTGCTCTACAGTTTGCTCTGCATTTTCATCACATCTGCAGCATGGGGATGGCGACAATTTATATTTATACAAATAGGCTTTGTTTCCACCATGACCGGTAAATAAATGTGTAACTAAGTTGTTCATTTTTATGGTTTTTAATATCTTATATGCTATAACAATATTTGGACAGAACATCTTCGTTATACTGCTGGTCGTCGCCTGTTCGTACTTCCGTTGCTATGTTTGCAGAGTTGAGCTTCTGGTGAGGCGCTTTGCATATGACAATGGAAATTTGTATAACAGCTTTGAAATGCTTTTATCCAATAAAGCAATACTTGCTTTTGGTTGTCTTCTAAAGTTTTGATTATTTTCCGTATTTCTGAAGCTATTGGATTAAGGGAGGCTGGGTCACAGATGGTTGTGATTGCCGATCGTGAGTCGCTGAATATATTTGCTCCTGAATAATTTTTGCTTATTATGTGTTTTAGCGCTCTATTTATTGCCATCATCTCCGCTTGGTAAACACTGCAGTAGCTTTCCAATCTAAAAGTTATTGTTTTAATTTCGTATCCATTGTGCCATATTGTTACTGCTGCGCCCACTTTTGCGTCGATGTTGCTTCCGTCGGTAAAGATTCTAACCCAATCGTTTTTTATCTCGTCAATATCCTTCTGGCTATTTATGTGATTGAAATTACGTTGTTTTCTTTCGCAAGGATGTGGTAGATCATAAGGGCCTATTCTTGTTTCCATTTGTCTTCCTGGTAGAAGCTCTATAGGTTTGCCTCTCTTAATTTCGTATAAACTAGCGTTTTCTTTTGCTCTTAGAGCTAGCGGTATTATTTGAGATAAGAGTGTGCTGGAGATCAGGGAGTTAGTTTTATGTCCTTTACTGATTCGTATTCCAAAAATCTGGGTCATTCTGTTGAGTATGCGTTCAATATACTTTTTTTCTGTGGTTTCGGCCCAGCAGCTGGCAGCATACATTATTGTTGGTTCTACCACTGCCAAATAGATTATTCTCAATATCTCTGAGTTCAGGCCCCAGTTAGCCCTCGCTGCTCTAGAGACCATTTTATAAATATTAATTGCCTTGCGACAAACATTATCCAGATGTGGCTTGAAATTTATATTTTTGTCTATTGTTAAGCCCAGAACTTTTAGTCGATCCGAGTATTGTAGTTCAACTTCTTCCATTTTTAGCAAAGGCTGATGAAATTTTTGTTTTCTTGTTATTATCACTGACTGAGTCTTATGGAGAGCAAACCTTAATTTATGTTTTTTGCCCCATTCTGTTATTATTTTAAGGGTGTGGTTTAAGGTTTCCTCCAGTTTTTGCCCATCTTGGTTAATGGCGATAATCAAAATATCGTCAGCAAAGGCTTGTACATGTGGTTGCGAGTTCTCCGTCGCTTGCTGAATGGATCGAGTAGGATATTCCAGAGCATTGGCCCACATGTAGAGCCCTGGATACAGCCTCTATTTGTAGGTTTCTTAATTTCTTGCCCCGCGTACTTGAGGTGTATTTCTCTTTCCGACAAATAGCTATTTATGAGCCTTCACATAGATGCCTCAACATTTTTGGAGTGAAGTTCATTGACAATGGCCGGCCACCAAGCATTATCAAATGCGCCTTCTATGTCCAACGACACCAGTACAACAATGGATTTACCGTTTAGTCCCTTTTTTATTAAAGTCATCGTGTAGTATAGGGCATCTTCAGTACTTTTTTGTGGGGTAAAGCCGTACTGTCTGTGGTTCAATTTATTCTCTTTTCCAAGCTGCCACTGGACCCAGGTTAACAAATAATTTTTCTAGTATTTTACCCAAAACAGGTAATAGGCCGCTTGGCCTATATGCCTTCGGTTGAGTATAATCCTCTCTGTTTGGTTTAGGTATAATCTTTATAGTCGCTTTTTTCCACAATTTTGGGAAATGACCATACGATCAGGCATTTATTATATATAGATAGTAGTACCTCTGGGTTGCTGTCAAACGCAGCTTGGCAAATGTCCGATGTTAGTCCATCTGCTCCAGGAGCTTTCTTTGGATTCATGTTCCTGAGAATTTGTTCAATTTCGTCTTGAGTAAATAAATTTGGATAGGGAATATTTTCGTTATTGATCTTTTTTATAATTTTTTGCGTTGTATTCCTCATCTCGGCGTGTTCCTCATTGTCTGTGTCTGGATTGTCGTCTGGATAGAACGTATCAGCGAGGTATTTAGCTGATTCTAACTCTGAAAGAGTTCGGCCGCTGGAATTCCGAAGCAGTTTATCCTCTTCTTTATTTGAACATATTTTTAAGATTCTGTATGTTCTTTGCCACATAGATTCCTTTTCTTCCTTATTGCAGAGATTTACCCAGCTTGTAGTTGTGGCATTTTCTATAGCGTTGATGTAGTCACGTCTCGCCTCCAAATATTGGTCTACTACATGTTTTCTTCTTCCAGGGTGTGCGTTTTTTATCCTTCGTCTTTTCCTGATCATGATCACTTTTTTATCTTGTATCCCTTTGTTCCACCAAGAAGCTGTTTTTGTTTTTCTTTCCTGTTTGATTAGAGGTATGCTGTTGTTGCAGGCTGCCAGTATACATTGTGTGTATTTGTCGGTGATATCTTCTAACTCTTGAAGTGATTCGATTTCGTCAATTTGATTTTTTACAATATTCTGTTTTTGCAGTTCTGTTTTAATGTCATTCTTTAGATTTTCCCAATTTGCTTTTTTAATGTTGTATCTCCTTGTGCCTCTAGTAGTGATTTCAGTTTTGATGTTTTCTGTATGTAGGTTAAATAATATTGCTCTATGGTTTGAGATTGTGCAAAGGTGGTTATCTACTCTCCAGTCTTTTATTCGGTGTAATAATGATGAAGAACAGGCTGTGACGTCAATGATGCTAGTACATAATTTTCCTAATCTATGAGCGACGAAAGTTGGTGTTGTCCCCAAATTTAAAATGTCCAGATTTAGCTCAGCTAACGTTTCCATAATAGCTTTCCCTCTGTTGTCGTCTGCATTGCAACCCCACCAGATGCTGCGTGCGTTGGCGTCCCCTCCAATAATCCTATGATGTCATCAGTACTCATATTTGCTATGTGATTCTTGATTTTTTGTAAATCTTGTTCAAGGTCTGCTTTTTCGTGTAAATACATGCTAACTAAGCCTATATTAGAGTAATTAATTTTAAGTTCAATGCCAACTATGTCTTCAGAAAGAAGATTAGGGTTTACAGTGAATTGAATTTTTGGATCACAGACAACTATTGCCGACCTAACCGGTTTATCTCTATCGTTTGTTACCTTTTGAATAATGCGGTATTGGGAACCCGCTGATAGATGAGCTTTTATACCAACATATGTTTCCTGCATTAAAATAATTGCGTAACCCTGCGTCACGGCTGAACGTAGGCACTCAAGTGTCCGCGACCGCGATCCAGGTTTACTTGCATTACTTTAATGATTTGTTTTGAGCCGGAGGGACTCTTGCACTTTAAATTTAATCTGTCGTTGTCTGCTTCTTAGCAGTATGAAACAGACGATCTTGTGATATTATCCCATTTCTGCCATTCTTGGCATTCTGGACTATATGCAGGGTGCAGAATTATTACTCCTTTTTGTATTTATGCAGTTACAGCATTTGGGAGCACTATTGCGGTTTTGGCATTCTCTTGTGTCGTGCCCCTCAGCACAATATCCACAACAAAGACTATTCCGACAATCCTTAGCTTTGTGGTTAAAATTCAGGCACTTGTAACATTGTGTCAATGGTGATTGGTCGACATGGGACAACCTGATAGCCCATTCGCAACTTTTGATTATTCAAGTTGGTCCACATTTGAGGTGAAACCTCAAGTATGACATTAATCACTTCTTTAGTTCTTCCCTTAGCCCTGCGTATGACCTTGACGGTTTTTTTGGTTAGGTTAGGTTTTTTTTTTTTATTACAACTCATTTCATCTGCTGTTGTTTATTTTACAGCACCCTTGATATCTGTTTTTTTTTAACTTTTGGTTTCTTTCTCGTTTTTTTTTTAAATTATTTAACATAAGTTATTTACAATATTCTGCCGTATCACCATAGTTCAATATTGATAGCAGCTATAAAATATCTCACAAATATTACTATATTAGAATCATGACTGGCTGTCTTGATTTTTTTTTGTTACCTATGCTTATACAATAAGGCATTTGTACAGTTTATTCTGTTTTGCATATCAACTCTTTAACTTTTTTTTTTTAATACATTAATTACTTACTACTTTTACAATATTCTGTCTTTATTTACAATGAGCTATTAGATACATTCATCTATACCGCTAACTACTGCTAGTTTTCTATCTACTAAAAAGTATACTAGCTATACTAAATGCTTCTATTGATAATACACACTATTGCTACCAGTTTTAAAATAAGTTAAGTATTAAAGTTATGGTTATTACTAGCCTTACTATAGTTATTATCATCTACTGCTTCTAAGACTATGTATATCTAATACTACATCAAAAAAAAATTTTTTTTTCTTATGCTTCAATTATGTTAATATATTTTTGACCCATTTTCTTGTAGCACTTTTCTCAGACACCTTTCGGCGTATACAAGAAAATGAGTGCGACTGTCATTGTCGTTGACCGCCCTACACAGAGAGTCTTCTTTTATCGGAAAGCCCATACGGTGTTCGCAACAAATTCTTAAACTCGCAAATCTAGGGCACTCTATTAGCAGATGTTCTATTGTCTGTGGTGTTACATGGTCGCATCCACAGTGTGGGCTCTGGGCTAATTTAAATTTGTGCAAATATGCATTAAGACCGCCGTGTCCTGTAAAAATTTGACATCTTAAGTTATTTATTGTAATCTTCTTTAATGTCGTATACGCCTGGATCACGTTTGGAAAGAACTTTTTCGTGACTCTTCCGGTGTCTGATGAGGTGTATAAGTCTTGCCAGGTATGCAAAGTGTTATCCCTGATGTGGCGCTTTGCAAAAGACAGAGGGAAGCAGTCGTAAACAGGCTTCTGTTTTAATGTTTCCGCTGCTGATTTAGCCAGTTCGTCGGCTCTTTCGTTCCCTTGAATACCACAATGGGCTTTGATCCAAAACAATCTTGCTTTTCCCTGTTTTCTTTCTATTTCTGAGATACGGGCCAGAATCTCTGCTGCTATAGGGTGTAAAGTGTTTGGATTCGTGAGGCATTCTAACGCTGATTGCGAGTCACTCAAAATGTTTGCATATTTGAGTGATTGTTTGCTCAGCATGATTTCTGTAGCTTTTAAAATGGCTGCTAGCTCCGCTTGGTAAACACTACAATGGTTTCCTAGCTTTAGTTTAGCCTTGTGTATTTCTTTTCCCTCCTTCCAGCAAGTGATAGCAGCACCCACTTTTCCTGAGATTTTGCTGCCATCAGTATATATACATGGCCAGTTGTTTTCTATAGCACCTATGTCATTTTCTGAAGTTATCATCCCGTACTGTTGTCTTGTTCTATTTGCTGGATGTGGTAGCGTGTGAGGGTGTATGGGTTTGGCTAGTTTCCTGCCGGGTAAATTCGCAATTGGTTTCCCCCTTTTGATCATATAGATTTCGGCATTTTCTTTGGCTCTTAAATCTAAGGGTAGAATTCTGGCTAGAATTGTGCAGGATACTAAAGATGTCGTACGGTGTGCCTTACTTATCATTATTGCGAATATCCTGGTGATTCTGTCAAGCCTGACTTTTACTTGTTTTTTACTTGCTGTTAGGCCCCATGCCCCCGCCGCATATAACACTGTAGGTTCAACTACCGTGATATATATAGTTCTAAGGATTTCTGGGTTGAGACCCCAGTTAGCTCTAGCTGTTCTTGAGACCTTTTTGTAGAGTTGGATTGCCTTTTCCGTGGTTGTATCAACATGCTTTATAAAGTTGAGGTTGACATCAATCGTTAGTCCGAGAATCGTTACACTTTCAGAGAACCTTATTGCTGTGTTATCGAGGAGTAATTTTGGAGTTTCGTATTTAATTTTCCTAGTCAGCAGAATTGCTTGGGTCTTCTGTGCCGCCAGTTTCATCTTTCTCCTTCTTGCCCAAGTAAGAATATGTTCGAGTGCTGTGTTAATTTCACGTTCTAAGTCCTCTGCTGCTTTCCCTTTGGCTATAATCAATATGTCGTCTGCATACGCCTGTATGTGTGTACCTAGTTCTTCTATCTCCCTTAGTAATGGGTCAAGTTGTAGGTTCCACAGCAGAGGTCCGCAGGTCGATCCTTGTATGCACCCTTTATTAGTTGGTTTAGTTATCTCGCTGCCTGCGTATGTTAGTTTTATTTTCCTATCAGAGAGATAACTGCTAACAAGCCTACTTATGGACCTGTCAATCCTTTTCTTTTCGAGCTCGTTTATCATTGGAGGCCACCAAGCGTTATCAAAGGCTCCTTCAATGTCAATAGAGACAATGACGACAATTTCTTTATTTTTTAATCCTTGCCTGACGATCTCAAGGGCATCGCATAGAGCGTCCTCAGTCCCTCTCTGTGGAACAAACCCATATTGTCTACCACTCATTTTATTTTCAGAACCGAGCTGCCATGTCATTCTATTGACAAGCAATTTTTCAAACGCTTTGCCCAGTACAGGAAGAAGTCCTATTGGCCGATAAGATTTGGGAAGTGTATAATTATCCTTATTCGGTTTCGGTATGATTTTGATAATGGCGTTTTTCCAAATCTTTGGGAAATATCCCAACGTTAGACATTTATTAAATATTGCTAAGAGCACTTGCGGCGTCGTCGTGTATGCCTTAAAACATATGTCGGCGGTTAGTCCATCTTCTCCTGGTGATTTTTTTGGGCTCATGTTGCTGAAAACGTTATCGATCTCGTTGATTGTGAAAGGTGTCATGGCTTCTTCACATGTGGAAGTTAATAAGTTTTTTCTGATTATTTCAGATCTGTTCCTAATTTCTATTTGTTCAGGTTCATCTGCTATGATTTCGTCAGTGGGGTAGAATGTATCAGCTAGAAGATGAGCAGATTTGTCCGGGGACAAAATACTGCTTTCCGGCGTTGCTTTTAAAAGTGAGTCTTCTGGACTTTTACTTGTTTTGCGTATAACTCTATAGATTCCCTGCCAAAAATTCTCCTTATCTTGCCTAGAGCAGAACTCCTTCCAGCTTGCCGTAATTGTCTCTGTTAATAGGTTTTTATACTCAACTTTAGCTGTAATATATTCTTCTATTATAGCTGGTTTCCTCCTTTGGTTTGCATATTTTATCCTTCTTCTTTTCCGAATTACCTCTTTTTTCTTTTTACTAAGTTCTTCAGTCCACCAGGGTGTTTTTGTGGGTATTCTTTTAGCAATTTTTGGAATCGTTTTATTACATGCCCTCTGAATGCATTCAGTATACTGTTTTACTATGTTTTCCATTGATTCCTTGGATTCCACGTTAAATATTGCGTCCTCAGTGATGTTTACGGAGCTCAGTTCTTCTTTAAAGTTGTTTGAGAATTTTTCCCAGTTAGCTTTGGCTGTATTATAAGTCCGTGTGGATAGTCTTTCTTTTGTTTCGCCTGTGATGTTTGTGAAATTCAGTTTGTACGTTATCGCCCTGTGGTCTGAAAGAGTAACGAATTCAGGATTCACCTTCCAATCAGATATTTTCCGAAGTAAACTAGTGGTGCACGCTGTCACATCGACGATGCTAGTATAATGTTTTTGCTGTCTGTACACAGAGAAAGTTGGTGTTTTCCCCACGTTTAAAATATGGAGTTCTAGTTGAGCTAAAGCTTCTGCCACAGCTGCTCCCCTTCTATCCTCCACATCGCAGCCCCACCAGGGACTTTTAGCATTGATGTCTCCTCCAAATAAGACATGTTCTCCCTCTAGGATGCTGATGTAGTTAGCTATCTTGCAAAAGTCTTCTTCAACGTCTTGGCCTTCTTCCAGATATACATTTACAATAACAACGTTTAAACCTTTGATACTAAATTTGCAAGCTATAATATTTTCAGTAATGGTTTCAGAGTTAATGATAAAATCTATAGTTGGATCAAATACAATGACAGCCGCTTTGACCGGTTTTTGACAATTGTTCGTGTATTTTTGTATTATTCTATGTTGGCAGGTGACGTGAGCTTTTGCGCCAACATATGGTTCCTGTAATAAAAGAATGGACACACCCTGTGCTACTGCCATTTGCAAGCATTCTTGTTGTGCTGCGTGTCCTCTTCCTAGGTTTATTTGGGCCATTTTAATAGTTCCGCCTTTAGAGTTTGTGGTCTTTTGTGGAGACGTTTCGGTGTTTTTAGCAGTAGGATATTGTTGCTCTCGCAATTCTATCCCACTTTCTCCATTCCAGACACTCAGAACTATAGGCTGGGTGACTGTAGTTCGAGACATTACCTCTTTTTTCAATGCAATTTATGCATTTTGGTGCCTTGTTTCTATTATGACATTCTCTCGTGTCGTGTGCCTCAGCGCAGTAACCACAATTTACTCTTTGCGCTTGGCATTCTCTTGCTCGATGAGAGAAACCTAGACACCTGAAGCATTGAATGATAGGTGATTGATCAACCGCTGGAACTATTTGGAAGCCAACTCTAATTTTTTGATCTCTGAATTTAGTCCAAATTTGTGGGCTTACCTCTAATACAATATTACAGGTAGAACTTGTGCGTCCTTTCATTCTTCTGACTACTCTTATGTATTGTTGTGTTGGCGAGATATCTTTAAGAAGAGCGCTATTCTGCTTTATAATTGCTTCTTCTATTTTCTTATCTGTTAGGTCAAATATGACTCCAATTAATCGTAATAAAGGATTTCTTGCCGTTAACTTATGGACAGTGAGTTTGGCAGTTGTGCTTTTTAGGCTATCCTGCAGAATGTTCCTATCCCCTTCGGACTCACAGCTTATTAAAACTTTTTGATTTTTAGCCTTTTTGAAATTACTTATGCCAATTCCAAGTGCAACTACGTCGATCTCACTCTTTACCTCCTTTATTATATCTTCGCTCGTGTATCTGGGATCAATTGATTCTACTATTATTGGGTAATGTGGCTTCCTAACTACTTCAGAGTAAGTATGTGAAGAATTCCTCTGTCTAACCATTTGTGGTTGTTGTTTTGGTTCGTCAGCGTTTAAGTTGTCCTCAGTGTGTTGGGAGTTATACCTTATCTGTTCTGTTTCTTCTATCTGTGACATAATTTTGAGTTCTTTCCTGAGGCCCTCTATTGCCACTCGAATGGGAGCCGCAGAATCCACTGTTGTGTCCCTGAGTTCTTTTGTGTCCTTCCGTAGTTCTTCAATGCTGGCTTGAACTGAGGGCAAAGAAGAGTTGGAGTAGCAGGTCATTAATCCTTGTACATTTTGTGACATTTCTAGGATGTTTTGTCTCAACTCTTTTACTTCAGAGCTTAGTTGCGATTTTATTTCTGCGATTTGCTCTGAAGTTTTAGTGCGTTCTGCAAGCTCTTCTTGATATAGTGTATCGGGGGGTGGATTGGCAATAGGTGCCTGATATATTTCCCTTTTTGATATATGTTCGTCGAACATACAACGGAGTTCTCGCAATTCTTTAACAAGGGGTGACATATCTAATTCTTTTCTATTGAGGTCATGACGGTTGCTTATATTTTCTTGGAGCTGCCTTAGTTCCTCTCTTAGCGATTGTATTTGGCTTATAAGAGATGGACCAGTTGAAATCTCATTTTTAATATTGATCAGTTCTCGCTTAGTCGCGGTAACTGCCTCACAAAGGTCATAAGAGAGAATAAGTCTTGCTGATTCTGTTTCTTTTTGAAGTTTTTCTATGTTTTCTTTCAGGAGGGCATATTGTCCCAAAGTCTCATGCATAAACCTTGCATGTCTTTGGGTAAGCCTTTCAGATTCTCGGGAAACGTTCAATTTCTGTTTGTTTGACTCAAGAATGTGGAGCATTCGTGAGTCTGACAACTTAAGGATCATTTCATAAAGAGTATATAACCCTGAGACGACGCTTTCCCGAATCTCCCTCTTAAGATTGCCAGATTTCTCCAGGTCTGTTTTAGCTCGCTGAAGTATTTCGTTAGCGTGCCTGGGCAGTTCATTTAACAGCATACGGTTGCCCCCAATAGACCTCGTGGAGGCGTCTAGGGAGGTGTTGGTGTCCCCGCTTTCAGCATCAGACCCCATGGTGTCTTCTGTTTCTGACGCGGATCTAAGGGCTTCCTTAGACTCCACAGCTTTAGCATGTCTAATTTGTGCACGGATGCGTAAGAGGCTTGATCCAGATTTTGCAATCACTGGGGAGGACGTGGTTGCTTCTTCAAGATTAGGGGAAATGGTGAACGACTCCTGAGTGTTTGGTTCTAGTTCATCCTTTCCGCCACACTTTTCAGATGGGAGTTTTCCGTGATCCTCCACCATTCCCAAGTCTGTAGGAGTCAAGGGATTGTCGCTCATCGTTTGCGGGGTCATTTGCTCCGTTGGGTTGTTGTCCGTACTAATGGGAGCCCGACTAAGGTCCTTTGTGCCCTTTGTTATGGTTTTCTTTTTAGAAGCCGTAAGTTTTTCTGGGTGACTAGATACAGGTTTTTTGCACTTGTCCGACATGGTGTACTTTAATGTGAGGAGTATTTACGAGGGTCTTAAAATGTAGAGGGGATGATACCAAAGTCAATGTCGAAAACCCCGTCGAAATCCGACTTACGGTTCAGAAGTTATGAGGTTTTGAAATTTTCCAATATGGCGGGCCAAGATGGCGGACAAAAATTTAAAGCTGGTTATCTCGCCTTCTAGTTAAGATAATTAGATCTAAGGTACCTAATGAAATCGCCAGCTTGCGCCAAACTTGGCGATTCGTTCTTTTGCTTTCTAATTGTTCTATAATTGATTTAATGGTGTTTGTTGAAAACCCCGTGTTTCTACGATAATCGGTTGCTGAGATACAAGGTGTTAAAATTTTTCAATATGGCGTCCAATATGGCGAAAAAACTAAAATTTGAAATATCTCAGCAACAGAGAGAGCTAGATGGGTCGTGTTTGGACTGTAATTACTGTAAATTTTTTGGTCTAGCTATTGGAGATAAGAAAAACCCAGTATATTTTGATGGCAATGAAATATCCTGAAAAAACACTGAAAATCTTATAACTCCCCAACGAAAAGCGATAGAAAAGAACTGAAAACGGATTTTTGCTCGTCTTAATGTTATCTATGATTTCAGTGTACGTAGCGTAACGCCAACCTTCAGAAAGGGTGACCACGTGGAAGAGTTAATTCAGGAAAATACCAATATTTCAAAATCTATGAAATAAAAAAATCCAAATTTTCGTCTATACTTTATTTATTAGTTTTCGCGTTAAAATGTAAAATAAAATACGTATGTTATCGCTTTAAATTCTGTAAAAAATTCTGTCAAAAATGGACTAATTCTAAGAAATTGACATTTTCACTAATAACTTTTAGAAGAAAGTGCCGATTTCAATGAAACAAGCGCTGATAAGTTGTGCCAATGGCCAAGTATAATACTATGAATCTTAATTCAGCCGCACGATTTCCGTTTCAATTTTCAATGCCACGTGGTTTTTCGGCTTTTCCTTAATAACTTCTAATCCACGTGACAGAAAATTCGGAAAATAAAGCCAAACTGTAGAGCAAAGCAAGTGCCATAAAGTGGCAAGATAAAAGTGACAGGTTATCGATCTTAAAACAGCGGCGTACGCAATTTTGTGTAAAATCTAACTCAAAAATTTTACCTTTTGACGAGCCCGACGCGCAGTTTCTGGGTTATATTTTAATAACACGTCACTTTTCGCCACAAACACTATATGAGGCTTCAAGCTCACATAAAACTGCACAAAACAACACTTGTTTCACCAAAATCGATTCACTTTAACCTATTTTTCGGGATTTTTAAACGTGGAGCGATTCGGAAACGATGCGTACGGGGCGAGGGACGGCAGAGTTCTGGTTAGGTTAGGTTAGGTTAGGTTAGGTTAGGTTAGGTTAGGTTAGGTTAGGTTAGGTTAGGTTAGCTTCCCCCCGAACGGGTTCCCGCCTTGTCGTGGCGGGGGGGCTTAGAAGCCGTGGCTTGGTCACCCACGGCGAAACAAAGAGGAACCCATATGGCTGGTCCGAGGTGGAGGGCCGGCCCGAGGTGGCCACTCCGAGTGGGCTTGGGAAGCCCACTTCGGATGTGTGTTGTGGACTGCGGTGAGAGGTGTGTCCTCCCCACCTACCGCTGCAGCCGAGGTGGAGTCGCGGAGGAAGAGGAGTGTTGGTATGGCGATGCGCCACTCGCCCTATCCTTCGCGACTCAAACGGGACCGCACCGTTGATGCGGTAGTGGTGGGGCTGCGGGGGAGAGGATTGTCGGTATTGCGAGGCGCCGCTCTCCCTACCGTCTGCAGCCGAATCTTGGTTGGCAGCGGAGCCATAGACCAGATCCGCTCTGGGGTCGGGAAGGCTAGTACTTCTAAGTGCTCGTTTTTCCTGGCCCCATGGCCTTTGTGCATCGGACGCGGGGGCGTCTGTTGCACAGACGTAGTGGAGGCCGTGGAGGAAAGCGCGCCATGTGTTCTGGTGCGCCTTACCTGGGAAGGAGAACGGGGAGGAATTTTCCTCTCCCGAGGAGGTGCTGCCATGGGGCGGCAGGCGCTAGTAGGGCCGCGGATGTGTGCGAAAGCGTTCCCGTAGCCCTGCCAATATGCGACAAAGGTGGAACACCATGTGGTTTTAGTCGGTGCGAGTCCGACATAACCCGTCCTTGCCCCCGCGAGGCGGGTATGCGTAGGCATTTCCCAATGCAAAAAAAAAAAAAAAGGTTAGGTTAGGTTAGGTTAACTTAGGTTAGCGCCCGGACCCGACGGAGTTCCTGGTCGAGCTCTCGTCCTGGCTCTGAAGGAGCTGGAGCCCCAGCTGAGGGGGCTCTTCACGGCATGTCTCGAGCAGGGTCGGCTTCCCAGTGTGTGGAAGGAGGGAAGGCTGGTCCTACTCAGGAAGGAGGGGCGCCCCGCGGACTCACCGTCCGCGTACCGGCCCATAGTGCTGCTCGACGAGGCGGGCAAACTTCTTGAGCGTATCATCGCAGATCGCCTCGTCAGCCACTTGTGCAGAGTGGGGCCAGACCTGGACGAGAACCAGTTTGGTTTTCGTCGCGGGCGCTCCACCATATACGCTATTACGCGCGTGAGGGCCCTGGCGGAGGAGACAGTATCCCGGGGTGGGGTGGTGCTGGCGGTGTCATTAGACATCTCCAACGCCTTCAACACCCTACCCTGGAGTTGTATTCGGGAGGCGCTTAATTACCATCGCGTGCCTCCCTACCTCCGCCGCACAATAGGGGCCTACCTTGAGGAGATATGCGTCACGTATTGGGGACGTGACAGCGCTGGTCGACGCGTCATGTCGTGCGGTGTTCCGCAGGGATCGGTCTTGGGACCGCTCCTGTGGAACATCGGCTACGACTGGGTGCTGAGAGGTGAGCTCCCGTCGGGCGCTGACTTGACCTGTTATGCGGACGACACGCTCGTCACTGCCCGGGGGAGCTCGCACAGGGAAGCAGCGTTGGTTGCCACGGGTGCGGTTTCACAAGTGGTGAACCGCATCCGGTGCCTGGGCCTGAAGGTGCCCCTTAACAAGTCGGAGGCCATGGTGTTTCATGGCCTTCGACGCGCGCCACCGCCGGGATCGCACATCGTGGTCGGCGGGGCCCGGATAGCTGTCGAGTCCACCATGAAGTACCTGGGATTGGTGCTTGACAGCCGATGGGAATTTGGGCCCCACTTCCGGCGGCTGGCGCCCAAGCTGATGCGTGCAGCTGGCGCACTTTCAACACTGCTTCCCAACTTGGGGGGCCCGAGCGCTGCCTGTAGGCGGTTGTACGTGGGAATCGTGCGGTCCATGGCCCTGTATGGGGCCCCTGTATGGGCGATGGACATGACGGCCAGCACTCTCG